TAGGCGCTGCTTTTGATCTGACCCTCTCGTTTAAGCCACACTTTGAAAAGACACTGCAGGAGACCAAAGCGAGGGTAAATCTGTTACTTGAACTTCCCTCTACCTTTTGGGACGTAGTGCGAGTGCTGAGTGCTGCGTACCACGTCCCTGGCACTTGTATACTGTGTCCATGTTTGGAGTTACAACTACTTCTCGAGGAAAGTAGACACGTAACAAATGGAAACAATGCGAATCGTGGCAGGAACCCTGAAGTGAGCCTGAACTATCTGGTTACCGATTCTGCGCTTATTGTGAACACTCACAAAACCGTAAGGGCAAGAAGCCGTCGCGCGTTTTCCAGGTCATTGCTACAAACTGCAAACCTCCTATCTATCGTGTTCTCAGACAGCCATGGACGCTATGCCTGAAATCACGCCATCTACAGTGGGGAGAAGCGGTGACGTCAGATTGAATCTTCAGACATAATGACGAGCAAAGTGAAACGTTATAGCCGTCCGTAACAAAGATCTTACCTGCTGCATGACCACAGAACCCCCTGGCATGATCTTGAGTCGCCAAGAATGATTGAGATTCAATCAAGACGAGGGCGTTGCGGGCACCACCTCCACTGCCTGAAGATGAAGTCCAGCTCGCAGTGTGGCTGTGGCTGGAGCCATGAAGATTATACAGTGTTGCATTATTTCCGCATTCTCTATGTGAAAGTTCGAAAACAACGTACGTGACGTGCAGCGCTGCCGTGGTGGCCGTTCATTTGTTTGGAAATCTGGACATTGAACTGTAAAGTATCTAGTCACCTCCTCCCTATTCATGCGCAGAAGTTCAAAGCTCTGTAATGCCGTTGCGATTTGATTATACATGTTAAGCTGTAGCATTATTCTGCTTGTCTGATTTCACTTCCTAAAGACGCATGGAGTATTATCAGAAACGTCTGATGCACGCACACACACACACTGGCATTGCTCCTCCTGATACTTCTGCTCTGTCATTTCTGAATATTTCCTTTACAAGAATTTTGTATAGACTTTGTCGAATGTGCTGAGTAGTAATACTTCACTGTTTGTTGATGTTTCTCGTATCCTCTTTGCTTAACGCATAGGTAACCACTCTGAGTTCCTACTGCTTCGGTGCCTTTCCGGAATTCCACGTAAGAAGGTATGCGCTAGTAAGCGACAAAATCCTATCGCCATTGATGGCCTTTAATATTAAAGGTAGGATTTCATTTCTCCAACAGCTTTAGCACATTTAATCGATGCTGTCACTTTAACCGTTGTTAGCCTTAGCCTACTTTCGTTCTCTAAATACATTTCATGAGCATTTGCTGGATAGTCTGGGTTTGGCAAAGCGTGATAATATGCCATCATTAATCTTAAGGGGATGTTTTCTTAGCGGGTCAAACGGTTTCCATCCGTACTTTTCATAGCTCAGTTTTCGTTCTCACACATCGATGGCGGATAGGGTGCCAGAGTACTTTGTTTGCTGAGCTGTAGTGACAAATCGTTATCTCTGAACGTCTTTCATGCCCATAATGAATGGATGATATGTACTTGGAACTGTTAGATTTCTTTGATGTTCTCGAA